GTTGTCCCCACCCAGGGCACCAGAAGCTTCCTGCATCCACGCACCAGGCAGGGTGAAAAGCCAACAAAACTTTATTCAATACATAATTACAGCATTAAGAAGAGGAAGGTTTCAGGCTACAGGCTATAGCGGCTCCCCAGGCTCCCCTCCGCCCCCGGCCCGCGTCCGGCCCCGCAGCAGGCTGGGGAGCTCCTGGCAGCTCGCTGCCACGTCAGGGACAGCCGACAGGACCTGGGGATGGCAGCGGCGTTTAGTGACAGTGTTTGGGTTGAGGGTTGGCATTGCTGCAGTCACAGCAAGGGTGAGAGCGATAAACCACAGAACCTCACCTCTTTCATCTTCTCCTGCATCTCCTCGTGGGTCCTCAGAACTTTCTGAGCGTGACGGAGCCTCAGCTCCAGCCCTCGGACCTGTGGTGGGAGATGCCCATCATGAACCTGCCCCCAAATTGGGCAGGGACTGGCCCAGAAGGGAGAAGAGACTCCCCGTACCTGTTCCTGGTACTTGTCAGAGAGCAGCAGATTCTCATCCTCTTTCTCCAGGAGCAGCAGACGCAGTTTGTCCACCTGCAAAAATATGCAGCGCCGCTGAGGGCTCACCCCTGCCATCCCGCTGGTTGCCTGCTCGAGGAGCGAGGTCTGGAGAGGTCCCCTGTCCACAGGGAGGTGGTGACACAAGAAGCCCTCAGTCCCGGTAGCCCCACTGCCTCACCTCCTGCCGCAGCAGGACTCGCTCCTGGACGTAGGTAGCGTCCACCTTGGGCTCCTGCCCACGCATCTCCTCCCACAGCACCTTGGCCTCTGTCTCCGCACGCTGGAGCGAGCGCTTCAGCTGGGAGACCTCTCCCTTCAGCCTCTGCGGGGAGAAAGGAGATGCCAAGAGGTGTCCCGTGGCCGGCACCCCCCCCAGGCATGCAGCCCGGCCGGTCCCCCATCACACACCGTGACCTCCCCGCTCTTGTCGATGAGTTGCAGCATCTTCTCTTCCTGCTGTTTCACCACGACCTGCAGCTCCTTCTCATTCTGCGTGGGGAAAACAAGCAGTGTCAGGCAGTCCCCGGCCCCGGCCACCCCCAGTACCCCAAGCGGGAGCGGGTTTTCTCATGTTCGAGAAGGTCAGACGAGCCAAGAGCACCCATGGGGCATCACCGGAGCCGGTCACCCAGATTTCTCTGTGTCCTAGATCAGCGCCCGTCCCAGTTCGGCTCTGCCCTGGGGTGAGTGCTGGCCCACTTCTGGCACCGGCTCACCTCTAGCTTGCCCCTCAGCGCCTTGTTCAGCTTGGCGATGGTGACAGCCTGGGCATCCATCTTCTCCTGGCTCTCGGCTGTCACTGTCTCCAGCTGGAGCTGCAGGTTGGAACTGAGAAGAGGACAGCGGGGCTGAGCCAGTGGGGAACGTGGTGCCCAGCACCAAACCCCTTCCTGGGCGTCCCACCAGCCCCATGGCAGGAGAGGCCAACCCACCAGCCCAGCCAGCTGGAAAAAGGCCTTCTAGCCATGGCAGAAG